GTTTGTTCTTTAATTCCTCAATGCGATACTTTAGTTCTCGGTGCTTTTTTTTATACAACAGGTATAAAAAGTACGTTTTGTCTCAAAATTTTTGATAAATCACAAATAGACGCAACATTACGTCGACTCGTGCCGCATACGTAAATGTACACAGTACGCGTTGCCGTTGCAACTCTCTCGACGTTTGCAGTAATCTTCGACAGCGAAAGGGTTAAGCGTGACAACGTTATACAGGCGGATCTATTTTTCAAAGCCGCGAACTATTGTGAAATGGCTTGTGACTCGTCTCGTCGTTGCAAGCAATCGCTACGGAAAGGCAATCGGGACAAGGTTAAGCTGCGTTTCTTAAAACATCGTACGTAAATCGAGCTTTTATAACTCGCGTATGTCTCGCATATTTATAAGCGTGTTATCGCGTGTGCGCGAACGCGAATTGAAACGTCATCTTATAGCTTCGTATCCTTTTGACATTGTCGATTATTTCGAGAAGCATCGTCGATAGTGTCGAGCGACAACAGGCGGCAAAAGCGATATGTGTTAAAAAAACAATTATAAATTAAATAACAACATGTTATAATCAAATACATTAAATGCTGTCATGTGTATTTTAATATTATTAATTGTCAATTACAGTTTTTTATCGTGAACTTAATGAATAATAAAATATAACATTAACAAAGCTACACTACAAATTTCCGCGTTAATTAGTATATCAATTATTATTTTTCTTTGCTGAAGCGTTTTCCATGCTGTTGGTTTAATTGAAAAATAAAATGGTTAATTGAAGAATAATTTATAACCGTAGGTTACACTCAGAAATAAATAACAGTATAAATCTTCAGTGTCTTGACACAAAAAGAAACTCTTTATGTGGTGCTTTTGCATCTCGCTATGAAAAAAATTGACGCTTCGGTTGCTTCATACGCGAGCGTGAATTATGTTGCTCTCTACAGCGCGTGGTGAACTTTATTACCGTGACATAAATTTATAATAAGCAGTGTATGATCAATCTATGAAATCATTAAATGAATATATGGAGCCAACGTCCTAGACGGTCAAAACTTTTATTGGGCCAAGGATACGTTATCAATCAAAAATCTATGAATGCGATTTTTAAAGAAATATTTGCGAAATCGAACATTTGAGTACCGATTTCTTTTTTTTTTTTTTAAGAACAAAATTCGTGGAATTAAGAACTCTATTGTACACATGCAGTATGAAATCGTCGCACCAAGTTTACGATTTGACTCATCGATTTGAATCGTCATTATCGGATGGAACAATGAGACATTTTTCATGTCGGATACAAAACGACAGTTAAACATAACGGCGGCGTAGTGTGGTCTCTAGATTGTACGCTCGATTTCTTCCGATGCAGTGACGGCCACCGCCAACGGCCAGCACGGCTCAACCGTGCGCAGTCGCGTGCTTTCAAACCGGAAGAGATATCCGAGTGTTTAATTTATCGGTTACGGGGAATCGGCCGGCGACGTCGGCGCGCGATGGGCCCGGAGGAATAGTGCCGGACGGCCGTCGAGGCCTCTCTCCTTCCGCGCGCAATTCCACAGTTACTTTTCTCTAATTTAAATAGATTGCGTAAGTGCCGCGGTCCATTCGACCGGTCTTCAAAAATATTATCTGCCAGTTCCGGCCCGGGAGATAAATTCCCGCACGCGTATATAAGCTCGTGAGCGTATGCTTATGACGTCCTGTTGCTAGAGCCCCTTTCGCGGAGAACAGTCTGCAACGCCGCGCTAATTGCATCAGTTGTTCGTTTTATACGTTTATACGATATTATTGGGCGATTGATATACTCAACAATGCAAACGATGCTCAGTTATCTATAAATGAGTCACGTTATCGATATGTAGTTCGAACGATGATCGATATTGTAACAATGCTTCGAGTCCATCGTGTCCTTCATTTGATGGGATTTTCGACTCGATTGATTTTTCGACAGTGAATTATAACAAATTTGGAGCAATAACTGATATTGAAAAGCGCATTGCTGCTTGACATTTTGATTAGTCGTTATCTGATTTTACATATATAAAATATTTCCTCGATAAAACGTTGAAGTCTGCGATAACTCTTACCAACATTCTTATTACTCGTATCTAGTTTGACTTTGCTTCATTTCTCTTGAAGTCATTTTATAATACTTTCTCGAAGTTTATCGTTAATTCTTTTCTTATGCATAAATCTTTTTCTTTTTACTCTTTTCAATTCTCACGATTATTCTGAAATATTATATAAATATCAGATATACCGACGTTTCAACAATTCGTTCGAAAAATTCTTTCTTTAACAAAAAGTCCGATTTTGTTTTGAAAATAATTCCTTTTCAACGAATTAAAATAAAGCGTCACAAACATTTCACAGCGAAATTTTATGGAGTCCTCTCTAGTGATTTTCTCGACAAAAATGATCGATGGAAGGGCACTCGCGAATATCAGCAGCGTCCCCTCGCTGCGGATTTGCCGATGCGTCAGTAATATGCAATTCCCCACCGACCCTCCGAGGTCAACAATTTGTTACGGGGACGGGGATGTTCAAGGAATACATCAACAGCGCGGTTGATTGACCCGTTGTTAGAGAGCAATATTTTTCGCTGCCAGCTCAAATCTTCGCTCCGTTATTGCAAAACACAGATTGTGACCGGAATAAAGATAATCTGTGACGTAAATATTATTTACCGTATAAAAATAGACTATATATGTTTTAAGTAACAAATAACATGTATTGATTGCTTCACGTGTACATTTTATATTTAAATGGATATGTTTGGTTGTTATATGCGGGCAACATGCGTAACGGATTATATTAAGTTCGTGATATAAGCACTGTGATATAATAATTTTTGCGGATGAGTGCAGTTTTTACAGGCTTTAAAACATACTACGCAGTTGTAAATTGCACTCTGAAACTGAAAGTAGCATAATAAAGAGTCTTTACTGTTGAGCAATATTCCTACATTTTTTACATTTTATTCTTATGAACAAAAAATCGAAATTTTGTGTTACAAAGCATCCGAAAAGATTTTTATCATCAACTTTTTTGATCTGTTTCTTTCGCCAAAAACTTTGATAAAACATTTTATAAAAATTTCTTTACTTGCATTCTTTCAGATTCCGCAGAATCTTAGTTTTGCGCATCGTGCGTGATTACACATTTTTGCTTTCGCAAAATTTGACGTCTGTAGATTCTCAAAGTGACAAATTCCCATTGTACAGTCATCATTGCTTTATTGTTTAGAAACGGTACAATGGCCTTTAATAAGATAATAAGTGGTTTTGAGGCAATGAGTTAACACGAAAGTGAGTCGGCGACAGGGCTTATAACACAGTCGTCCGTAAACGATGACTAAGTCTTGCACCAAACTGCGTGGGCATATAACATAATCGCAATAACAAAAGTATTTCCTGTTTACACGAGGAGCACTTATAGTGCATTCTTCCGCGAAATGGATACTTTAACGGGAAAAGGTGATCTGCATTTGCTTGTTAGTCTAAAACTTGGAAAATGTATTCTCTAGAAATCTGAACTCTTTTCTCGCAGACTGAAATGCATTTTTACTTTTGCAAAGTTTAAAGCAGAAACTTGATTCAGTTATTTTTAATTCGATTACGCGTGTTAAGTGTGTTTTAGATCTGATAATCTTTATTCGGATTGTATTAAGAATATAATCCTGCTGCCTTGTGTAATTTGTCATAAACGTTGCGATTGACTTAATGAACGTTAATGGCTTATATAAACATCATTACTTACGAACAATACGGCTTGTGAGATTAATTTAATTTTATTAATTATCTTACAATACGTCCATCTTTCCTCGCCTGCACTTTCTACAATTATTTCCATTCTGCTTTCTCTCTTCATGGCGCGAACGTATATTCATCTCATTTTAAATACAAAAAAAACAAGAAAAAGTTACAAGGAACAGATGCATTATTCGCCCATTAATATTCAATTGAATATTAATTATTAATTGCGTATTTTACATTGAACTAGTTTGTTGACACTTTGCCGTTTCTTTCAATTATTCTTATTTATTTTAATAATGTTGCCAAAAAGTCTATTAAAATATAAAAATTGTTATTTTGTACAAAAATCTGTGCATTTTTTTGTAATTTAAAAAATTTGTGCAAGAAGATCAAAGATCTGAAAGGAAAACAAGAAAGAGGAAAGAAAATTCACTCACGCACTCTAATTGCGAAAATGTAAAAATCGTTAAACTGTGTTGCTTTTTTGTAATTATTTATTATTCACTAATAACAATTACCTTACTTCTTGATTCAATCGGAAGCGCCGTAAATCCTCGAACAAACTCTCCACACAAATTTTATAAATTATCACCACCAAAGTTAAATCTTCTTGGTAATATCCAAAATGATGTTGATCTTTTTTTTTTATATAATTTTCGGCACTACGTCGCTTGTCCCTTTTGTTTTCTCCGTCAGGTAGGAAGCGCAGCACGTTTCACCTGCACATCTTCGTCCGTCCGCGTGTCATGATCGAGGATCGAAATTCGAGCGAGGCGAGCGTGAAGGAGCGCGCGGGTCCGAACGTCGTCACGGCGAGAAGCGGGATTCGAACTGTTCGGTGTGCCGCTCGAGATTCCGCTCGTACCCGCTCGCACTCTCGTACTCATGCCGCGCGTCCGTTCCGATCCTCCGCTCTGCCGCTCACTGCGAGACATTCGCGCGCGGAAGATCCGATCAGCGTTCGAAGGAAGTATCACAACAAATAGCAAATTCATAAACTTGGAGAAATTGTCTCGGAGCTATAGCTTTTCTGTATCTCGAAAGAAAGTTCGTGAATCGAAAAGTGGAAGCTTTCACAAATCAATAGAAACTTCAGCGCTGTTTCGCAATTTTAAATTAATATCTTTATAAATTTATTACACACGAAGTGCCATTCGCGAAACAAAAATTATATTGCAAAATCTATTCTATATATTTGTTATATCTATAGCAAAATCAGTGCAAGATGATATTAATAATCAATATTCTTCTTTTATAAATTTCTAGACAATTCTAGATAGATTAATTATTTAACAATTTTAATATTAATCTGAGAGAAAGATTTTTACAAATGTGAGAATAAATGAATATAAAAATGAAAAATATTTGCATGTATTGCAATGTATTCGCATGTACTAAAGTGCAAGAAAGAGATGGATGATGGCCGGTGAACCATCCTATATAATCTCGGAGATGAATTGATCTTCTCTCGGCGATGCAACTCAAATGCATGGAGCGTGGCGCATCCGTGGTAGACGGAAGCAGTGAATGCGGCCGCGCTTATCTAGTTTGACACTTCCTTGCTGGCAGATCGCACGCATCTACATAAACCGGTTGTCGTTTTGAAAATGCCATAAAAAGCCAAGCGGTTAAAATCCGCTTTCATTGATTTACGTAATAGATCGTAATCGATTCTCGCTTTTTGTTACGCCAATCGCGCAATGCGCACTAATAATGCACAATGCGCTCTAACAAACAACGTTACCAGTGCCTGATATCTTGAAAAGTAATATCCGGCCACAAACTCGCGACATTCACAATCTGGATTAGCGTTCTGATTCCGGAAAACGCGTTCTGCGATGGCAAGTTCAATCAGTCAAGGATGAGATTGATAAACATATCAAGAAATTTGTTAAATATTATAGCAGTCACTTTATGCAAAGAGAATAGTATACAGTACTATTTTTTTATCAACATATTTAAATTGTGATATTTTATAATTTTCTGATTCGTAAAAAATTTATAAATGTGTTATTTAATCTCTTCTCTGTTTTAAGAAACGAGATTTATGTTAATTATATTTGGAGAAATGTAGCATTCAGGAGATTTAATTTATTGCATATGATTTATATGATTTCCTGAATTATATTTATTGTAGAAACTATAATTAATTTCCCTAATTATATTTTTTGTAGAAATTTTAATAAGAGATTATTACATATAAGGAAACTTTAATATCTTGTAATAATATAATTGAATATCTTTTGCGCGTTTATTCTGCGTAAATTATTAAGTTCAGTTCAAAGTTAAACGAGAAGATTTCATTATCTATGTGTATTTTTAAGCATACATTATTGACATTCTTTACAGTCAACGTTTGATTACCAGCACTATGTTCTTATCGTCGGTTTATTTTGTATGGTAACATATATTGTTGAACCATATCGCTAAATAAGTGTCCACACTGAGAGAAAAGTATGTGATATTTGGAACTATAGTTACATGGGACTATAATTATAGTCAGAACACTCATTTTTATAAGAATTGTTACTATAATGTTAGCTATAATAACCTTGTATACACGGAGAAAATTTTATATCAAAAATTACTATGTACGGCAGTAGTCGCGAACCATGAAAGAATTATAAAAATTTTTACTATGTTTTTCACGTGTGAAAAATAGTAAAAATATTTGGCCCGCGGCTTCATAGTCCGCGGTTACTGCCATACATAGTAATTTTTCATATAAAATTTTCTCCGTGTAGTACTGCCAAACGTATAATCAACCGTATACTTATAAAAATATGGTTGGCGCCACACAAAAGATTATGTGGTTATGTAATTATGTGGTTACTACAATTATTCTTTTCTCCCAGCGCAAAACATCCGAGATATCTATAATACGCAGTTTCCGACGTAAAAGCCAACGAACTGGCGAATATCGAACACGCGGCGATGATAATGGATTATTGTGTCCGCATGAATTGAAACAAAGGAAAGTTGACACCGTAAATATATTATCTTCATAAGACGTCAAGAAGCTTCAACTGACCTTACACCCCTTCAGATTGCAGCGGGAGCGATAAAGCTCGCAAGCAATCAGCCACGCGTTTTGCACTCCGCGACCTGCGTTTCCTTTTACGTCACGTTCTAATGCTTGATCAACTCGATCGTTCTATGATAATGATATCAGAGGGTTTTCTATTCCGTGGAAGTTTCGCGAAAATATATTTAACGCTGCAATATAATACGATTTGTTAGTGAATTATTAATATTTAATGTATTTTGTTGATTAAATTTATACATTTTGTCACTGATAATTTATTTTATTACAGAGAAACTATTTAAAAAGAGGGGTGGGGGAGAGAGAGAGAGAGAGAGAGAGAGAGAGAGAGAGAGAGAGAGAGAGAGAGAGAGAGAGAGAGAGAGAGAGAGAGAGAGAGAGAGAGAGAGAGAGAGAGAGAGAGAGAGAGAGAG